CCTTTAAATTACATATATAATTACAATATTATATATTATATAATTATATTACTATATAATATATGTATATAATTTTTTTACCTTTAAATTACATATTATATATAATATAATAATTATACAATATATATATATATTTTAAATTTTACAATAAGTAGCAAAAGCGAACTTTTTTTCTACGTGACGAGTATACTCGACATTAAACAAAAATATTCCATCTTTTCGTGACGAGTACACTCGACATAAACGCTCAAGAAGTTAACAGCGATTAAATGGTCATCCGTCCAATGGAGATGATGATCACCTTTCACGCGCGAGCGTGTGAGCGTGTGAGTTCATACTATAGTTACAACGTAATTAGATTTAACTGGAGGGAAAATGTAAATCATACGCGAAGGAACGATTGATTTTCGACGAAGCTTGTTGGCGATCGCTTTCTTCTTCGCGTAGCCATTGCGCTTCTTGCAATTTGTAAGTTTTGTCATTTTCAATTTCAGATATTTTAGATAGTTGTCATTTCGTAGTGAGAAAAATAGGATTTGATATATTTTTTGAAAAATGAGAAATGTTCAAGCGTTTTAGCTAGAAGAAGGCGGAATGTTTTAAACAATCGTGGGAATTGTGACAAAATCTCGACGCTAAGCTGACGCTTTTGTACATCGTTCCTTTCTTAAATTCAGGCCAACGAATCCGTGCAAATAATAATTATATTACATCATTTTTCTAATACGCTGGAATTTTGTGCAATCTTAATTTTCAAGCGTTTAGATATTATCGTATTTTAATACTTGAATTAAAAACTCTTTCTTTTTCGAGTCGATCGGAATCGATAAAAATGGTTCCTCGCTGTTACTTGGACCATTTTTTGACGAAACTGAGGAAACCAAAAATTTACATACACACACACACACACACACACACATATATATATGAATTTATTCACAAATTGTTTGTAATTACACATTAATTGCTTATATATATATATATATATATATATATTTGTAAACAATTTGTGATTTAAATCTTCCAATAATCATTTGTTTCAACGAATTAGAATTTTGCACACCAATGCAAACGCAAGCATTTCATCATTTCTATAAATAAAAAAGAAAAATAAATGGACTTGCGCTATTTTTGAAATAAATAATCCGAGTAACAACAAGGAGCCAGACAAATTTTTATCGATTTCGACTACTCAGAAAAAAAAATATTAAGTGTTATGCTCGTATGTTAATATATAATTTAGTATCGTTGTATGTTCCGCTTTCTGTTTCTGTTTCTCACAGACGCGCTTCGAAAGACTAACGTTCCCCAACAGCGAGAAACACGGTTTATTTACTCTCTAAAGAGGCTAATAAATCGCGGCATAATAAATTTTTTTTAAGGAACAATGGCATCTAAAACCGGAAGCTGGTTCTCGCTTCGACGTGCGGGTGGACGTTTTGTATGATTATTCAGCTACACCAGGCCAAGTGATATTTTCGTCCTGTTCTATAATTACTTTTTACGTAATTACACGATTGTGAAAATACCGCCGATCGATGTCGTTGTCTTTCGTTGCTAATCGAACAACGCACAACGCACTCAGTGAATTTTCGTTTCAAATATTTTTTCAACATCACCTCTACCTGTGCGCACGTGTATTTAATTTTATTCGTGCAACGATTCATCAGTTAAATGATGGAAATATTTCCACGTAGTACGAAATTCAGCTTCCTATCCAGCTGCATTCGTACTAAAATTATTTTCTTTCAAATTTGGTAAATTTTACGTTATTTTAATATGACTTAACTTCGTTGCAGTCACGTCCTGTTTGTGTCTTAATAGTAATTCACGTGCAACAACATCTACGATGCGATTTACACGTTTCATTATAATTCCGAATAACAACAATTACACGTGAAATTAATTAACAGGAGATTATTTATTACATAATTCGGGAGTCGGGCAGTTAGCAGCCAGTTAGTCAATATGTTGTCAATAAGCGTATTTTCCGTTCAGTCGCGCGAGGCAAGTTGTTGGCGACAACAACTGAAGGAGAACTCGATGGTCGTTTAGCAGTTTAGAAAATTTTTCGCAGTTTAGAAAGTTTTTCGCAGATTGATTTTATGCAACAATTATATCTGTAGATTTATGTAGCTATGCTGCTTAATGTCCAGTTAAAATTTGGAAAATATTGCAAAAAATTTGCATCATTAACAGCAGCAACGAAGGTACAACCATCGTCTTTGATAATAATCCTAATTCTGTGCACGGTATATTTATTAATGCAACGCGAATCGATTATTTCTCAGCTCATTTCGATAACAATTCTGATTCCTCGAATCAAACTACAAAACTGATTACTATGAATACCGTCTCTATTTATTAAATCATCGTCTATTGTTACATTGTCGTTTTCATCGCGAAAATGGACCAAAGACACGATGATCATGTTCCATCGTTTATTTCAAACAGAGTCGATTTCCAAATTCATTAACTATCAGGAGGAACCTCAGAAAATTTTTCATCAGTTTTAATAGAGGTTCATAGATAATCGATATCTCTTCTGAAATAAAATTCTCGAATTCGAGATTCAAAAGCGATGGCTGTTTTTTAGCATAGCATTGAAGATTCAAAAGCTTAGCATTGAAGATTCAAAAGTTTAGCATTGAAGATTCAAAAGTAATTCGTCTTCGAGAATAAAATTCCCGATTTCGAGACCAGAGAGTGATCGATAAGTCTTCGATTTCAAGACTCGAGAGTGATCGGTATTATTCCACGCGAAGCAGTCGATTTCGAGATTCAAAAGTGGTCGTTGTTCCTCGATACAAAATCGTCAATTTCGAAATTAAACAGTGATTGATATTCTTTTACGCAAAGTCGTCGATTTCGAGACCAGAGAGTGATCGGTAAGTCTTCGATTTCAAAACTCGAGAGTGATCGGTATTCTTTTATGCAGAGTCGTTCATTTTGAGACTCAAGAGTTTGAGATCGGAATTCTCCCGACGCAAAATCGTCAATTCCAAGACTCAAGAGTGATCGGTATTATTCCACGCGAAGCAGTCGATTTCGAGATTCAAAAGTGGTCGTTGTTCCTCGATACAAAATCGTCAATTTCGAAATTAAACAGTGATTGATATTCTTTTACGCAGAGTCGTCGATTTAGAGACTCGAGAGTGATCGGTATTATTCCACGCAAAGTCGTCGATTTCGAGATTCAAAAGTGATCGTTGTTCCTCGATGCAGAGTCGTCAATATCGGGATTCAACAATGATTGGTATTCTTTTAAGGAGAGTCGTCGATTTCGAGACCAGAGAGTAAGATCGGTAAGTCTTCGATTTCGAAACTCGAGGGTGATCGTTATTCTTCTATGCAGAGTCGTTCATCATTTTGAGATTGTTATTCTTCCGACGCAAAATCGTCAATTTCGAGACTCGAGAGTGATCGGTATTATTCCACGCAAAGTCGTCGATTTCGAGATTCAAAAGTGATCGTTGTTCCTCGATGCAGAGTCGTCAATATCGGGATTCAACAATGATTGGTATTCTTTTAAGAAGAGTCGTCGATTTCGAGACCAGAGAGTAAGATCGGTAAGTCTTCGGTTATTCTTCAATGCAGAGTCGTTTATTTTGAAATTAGAATTCTTCCGACGCAAAATCGTCAATTTCCACGCAAAGTCGTCGATTTCAAAAGTTGTTCCTCGATGCAGAGTCGTCAATATCGAGATTCAACAATGATTGGTATTCTTTTACGCAGAGTCGTCGATCTCGAGACTCGAGAGTGATCGATATTCTTCGATGCGAAATCGTCGATCTTGAGACTGAAACGCATTCCATCGTCGAATTCCCAGGTCCTCAGCTCGAAACTGATCGACTCCGAGTCGACGATCTCGATCTTGAAAAACTGTTCTTTGTCACCGCAGAACGATCCCCCCGCGAGGAAGGAATCGTTCAAAGATGGGCACGATCAAAGAGGCTCGGACGCGCATCCTTCACGTTCCACGGGCACGTGAATACGAACGCGTCGGCGTCCGATTCGTTCGCATGTTGCAACCACTTTGCCACGCGGCCGTACCGAAATCAGGACCCGTGTAAAAGAACGCGGCTTCGTGAATCCTTAGACGAGGGTGGATTACTGCCAGATAGCGGTGGTGTCGTGGAGAACGATGTTGTGGTCGGCGATGGCGCCTGCGTGAATACCTGCGGCCTCCACCAACATCAGCAGCAACACTCTCGAGGCCATCGTTATCGCCAGGAGCAACAACAGCAACAACAACAACAACAGCAGCAACAGCAACAACAGCAACAACAACAGCAGCAGGAGGAGCTGGAGGATTTTCTGTGCTTTCGTGGACCACCGGAGCAAGAGATGGTGGCCCAAGAAATGGCACAGAGTTACACGCAGCTCCTCCAGCCGAGTCAAGAGCCGCAGGAATTCATCTCGTTGGAGGAGCTTCATCCGCGTATCCATCAGGAGCACCGCGTTCACGACAGCCGCGGCCAGGTCGTTTCGACGATCTCGTCGACCAGCGGCCAATTCTATCAGCACCATCAGCAACAAGGCAGTTACTATAACCTCTTGGCCGTTCAACAGTAAGTGATCAAATGTAATGCGTTGTTGTCATTGTTAAATAGCCGTTTGTGTCGTTTGTGTGTGTGTGTTTTTTTTTCTTTTTTTTTTTGCTCTTCTCGTTTCACTGTGTGGAAGGTGCCACGTGGTCTCAGCTCGGATGATTACGGTAGAACTCCATTTATCGGGATTGGAAGTAACAGCGGATAACACAACGAGGAAAAGTTGTTGTCTGTTTTCGAATAAATAGAATTCTACTTTCTATGATTGTACGTTTCTCGTATTCTTGTATGGTTATCGTTTCTCGATAATATAGAGTAGCAAAAACTTTGTTAAGATTGATAGACCGAGTATCAGTATGTACCATAAATCAGGGTGTTCATAAAGTCTCTTTACAAGTTTAAAAATTTATTACGAAGGCAAATGAAGAGACAGACAAGTGGAAATTATTACAAAACGAAACGTATATATTCAAGTTCTTTTTGACTCATTTGATACACCTCTATATGGGCACCATTAGTTGCACGAAGCACATCAGGACAATACTCGACGATTTCTTACACGATCGATGTTTTTCTCAGATGTTCTTGGTCGTCCACTCCTCCCTTTATCGAACACTGTCCCTGTCTCCATAAATTTCTTGTGCCATGCACGAATTGATGGACGTGATCTCTTCCATACCTAGTTCTGAAGTTTCGCAGTCTGCAGATCCGATTTGGTTTCAATAAACCATGACGCACACTGTGCCTTCTCTTCAGGAGTAGCCATTTTGCAAGGCGTTCATTTAACAGTATCTCATTCATCAACAGGGTATCTGAAATGCAATGTGATAAAAACCTTGATAACCACCGAGTACATGGAACAAATCTGATGAAGATGTCTCGTCAATTGCCTTTGTAATAAATTTCTGAAATTGTAAAGAGACTTTATTGGACACCCACATGGGGTTATGTTAAAGATATCGAACAAAGGTCGTCGGGACATCGTTAATCTAAAGCAGAGGATCACTGATTGTCACCATTGTCACCATTGATGAGGGTATGCCACAGCGAACATGGCAAGAAATCGAGTACCGTATTGATGTACTTCGTGCAACTAATGGTGCCCATATAGAGATGTATTAAATTAGGCCTCAGAAAACTTAAATATACACGTCTCGTTTTGTAGTAATCTTCACTTATCTGTCTTTTCACTTGCCTTTGTAATCATTACCTTGAAAAACTTAAATATACACGTCTCATTTTGTAGTAATCTCCACTTATCTGTCTTTTCACTTGCCTTTGTAATAAACTTTTGAAATTGTAAAGAGACTTTACGGACACTCTGTGTAACAGTCAGCTAGCTTCAAACACTTTCAAATGTGCAACGTTACTGTTGCAAGTAAATTCGAATATCGAAAGATAGAGATGATAAATCGTCGAAGGAATGCGTAAATAACACATGATTCTTATCGATAATGGCCATTATCGACTGATCCCTCCGTGACTTCGTGCTTCGTGCCATTAAATTGCTAGTCTTTCGTTCAATTTTCTAAATTATACTCGCAAATAATTGTGAATCGTTGTGCTTTTTCTATGTGTGTATTATACGTATGTACGTACGTACATAGTGATCGAGTTTGTTTCGCTTGTCGTCAGTTGATGGCCGCGGGACGTGATTGGCTGTTGGTTAATCGTCGAAGACGAGTTAATGGAAAAATTTCGACGGAAATCGGTTTTAGAATTATGACATAACCCGATGCATCTACATATGGGATAATAAGGCGATTACTCGTGTTATTGGCTAGCCTTGAATTAGCACATGATCTTCGTTAATCGCTCTGTGACTCCTGTGATTCCTCGGCATTTCCAATCGAACGTCTAGGATACGCCTCTCTGTGCAATTATTATTAATTGCTGGCTCGCTTGGAAAAACCTGATTTTGCATGTTCTTTATTAAAACACGTCGAACGCTGGTCTCTCTTAACAATCGTGATTGCACGTGAAATGTAAGATGTGTAATTAATTATGAAACATGGAATATTATCGAAGATTAAAGAAGGAATATATAAAACAGTTTCAATCTTCAATCGTTGCTAAAATTTACAATATATAACTAGCATAAATTACTAATTTGGTGTATTTCATTTTAGCTACATATTTGTATTCTTATTTATATATATTCGGGCACTTTATTTCACTACGTTTTATTTTACTGTTTTTCAAAGTACTTGGAAATGTTCAATTTGTATCAGATTACCAGAGATTGGAATATTTATTACGTCGCTTTAATAAAGCAATAAAATGAAATTGAATTGATAAAGTTCAAGATCAAGTAGTTTAATTCTGAATTTAATTCTGGTTTCCAATAGCCAAGTAACACCAGTTGAAAATTAAAATAAAAATAATATAATAATAATATAATATAGAAAAATATAGAAAAATAATATAATAATATAATACAGAATAATAATATAATAATAATAAAGAATAATAATATAATAATAATAAAGAATAATAATATAATACAGAAAAGTATTGAAAAATAATATAATAATAATATAGAAAATATAGAAAATATAATAAAAATAATATAGAAAAATATTGAAAAATATTGAAAAATAATATAGAAAAATATTGAAAAATAATATAAAAATAATATAGAAAAATATTGAAAAATAATATAAAAATAATATAGAAAAATATTGAAAAATAATATAAAAATAATATAGAAAAATATTGAAAAATAATATAAAAATAATATAGAAAAATATTGAAAAATAATATAAAAATAATATAGAAAAATATTGAAAAATAATATAAAAATAATATAGAAAAATATTGAAAAATAATATAATAATAATATAGAAAATATAGAAAATAATATAAAAATAATATAGAAAAATATTGAAAAATAATATAATAATATAATACAGAAAAATATTGAAAAATAATATAAAAAAATATAGAAAATAATATAAAATAATAATATAGAAAATATAGAAAATAATATGAAAATAATATAGAAAAATGTAGAAAAATAATATTATAATAATAAATAATAATAATAATAATAATAATAATATAGAAAAATATTGAAAAATTATTGAGAATAATGGAACCGATAAAATAGCTCGTTCGAGAGTTTTCGCATCAGTGCTTCTTATGTGTATACATATATATTTTTTTTAAACCAATTGTACGCAACAATGAAAGAATCAATGAGAATACATTCGATGGTTTAACAGCACTGATTGTGCGAAATACGCGGCGAACAATGGCGATCTTGAAGAGGAGTGTTCTTTCGTGGCTAACAGCCGAGATTAAACGCGTAGCGGACGGCGCCACTTTTCATAGAATACCATTCATGAATAATACCAAACATGAGACAGTGATATCGCTGTTATCATTCAGAGACAGACGTTTATGACGTCCACTGTTGTACTCGTTGAACTCCGCTAACTCGTGGAACATTCGATTTTTTTTTTTTTTCTCGCTCGCAGAAATCGGGAACTCGCGATTGTTTGTTGGCCGAGGCAATCGAATCGGAGCGAAGATTTCACTTTCCTTCAAGATGTGTCCGAAACATATTTATCGTTATATTTAATCAATTATTTAATATCGCTGTTCAGTTTAAATTTAAAAGAACTTAAACTCTGTTTGGCGTTCTTTTATTTCTCAAGACACGTTAAAATATTTGATGTTTCGCGCGTTTGTGAAAATTATGAATTATACGCGAATCGTTGTGGTACAATGTTTAATATTTTCAATCGAACGGAAAGTTCTTTACTTTAGGACAATGATGGCGAATCTATGACGGAGGCTTTTCAAATGATTTTTATAAACTTATTATCATATATATATATGTACATATATACATATAAAAGAATTTTAATTATTTTTCGAACCACTCTTTTCAAAAAATGTTAAGGAAATAACAAGTGTTTGGTTAGAGCTTAAAAGTGAGAAATAAATGCATAATTGTTTTATGGAGGATTTACGACTTGATTATGTATACATATAGATATTTTAAGTTTTAAATGTTATATATGAGTTACTTATGTCCAAAAAATGTTATATAGCGCTTACGATTAAACAGATGTGATAAACACTAAAAAAACACATTAGATCCCATTCTCAGAATGGGTAGCTTTGCTAGTTTTTTATATAATAAAAGAGAAAACAGACAATAAAAAATATTAAGAAATAAAGTATATATATATATATATATAATGTATAGTGCAGGGGTGACTGGGCATGATGTGACCCCTTTTATATCAATTTTTTGACGTCGACATTTATTTTTTGCTCTTCACTTGCAAAAGTAAAAGTAGTCAAACAAAAAGGAAACGTAAATCCTTTTTAGAGGATTATAAAAATGAGAACCAAGAAAAAGTAGTTTTCAACACTGACTTAGTGACTCACGAGCTAGTACTAAAAAAAATAATGAACAAAATTTGATCTACTTCTCAAAAAGGTTCGCCGTCACTGGTTTAGGACATTTGAACGAAGGAACGCAGTGTGACTTACAAAGTGGAATTCTACGACTTTACACTTTGTGATAATTATAGGCAATTTCGTTTCGATTTGATTCAATATATTTTTGAGAGAAAAGGCGCAATTCTTCCTTGGAATTAGTACAACATCCACAATCTCTTATACTTCCAGTTTGCGATAGTTCAACAATTTTATTTCAATTTACCTTGGTATATCTCTCTCAGAAAGAAAGAGAAGAAAAAAAAAAAGGTGAAATTCTTCCACTGAAACTAACGTCCGCAGTCTATTATATACTCACTATATTTACTTCATGATAATCCAATTCAACTTCAATTTAGCCGATGTTATTTCCAAGTAACGAGCAAAAAGCTCGCCACATATTTCAAGTTAATTGGTAATCAGCAACTATATGGCCGGTTTAATTTGGAGGGCTGTAATTTCTCGATACGTTTCCAAATACTACCGACATGTTCGTCACGTCTCTCCTTTTTTTCTTTCCAATGTTAATAAAATTTCTGGACATTCACAAAAAAAGTGTCCAAATCTGT